CAGTCCCCGTTGGGTTGTTTTTAAATCCTGCAGAACAAGGCCCCTCTGTGGTGCTGCTCATGTCAAAGTGTTTAAACTAGCAAGAAAAGGCCCTCTCTCTCCCCTCCCTCCCTGGCTTTAGGGATTTTTTTCAGAGCCTGAGATTTTTCCCTTTTTTTCACTCGCATTATTGCCGCTGTAAAGCAACACCAACACAATGCTCTCCCACTTTGTCTCCAGCTTTTTCACAACCACACATAGGGACGGGCGTGCGCACACACCCCACTCAATCATCCCCGCACAACTCCACAAATGCAAACGCGCATGCAAACGGCCCCCCCACCACCCCCGCCCGAGACCCCGCCCGAGACCCTGCCCTCCCTCTTACCCACAGTGTATATAAAAGCTGTATCAAATTGCACCTTGAGCTTAATTGGCTCGGCAGTACAGTGCGCCGCTGTCGACAGTGACAAATCGTTCTTTCAGAGCCCCAGAGAATGCCTGCCCACTGCCATGTCAGAGGACACAGGAGGAGGAAAAAAAGTCAATTGTCCCCTGGCCGCCATTCAAATGATGTCGTAACGGCAAAGAAATTTGTAGGAGATGCATTTCGAAGCTCTGGAGTGCATTTACAGTGCTGTGCAAAAATCTTGAGCCACTCATTTCTTTGCATTTTGCTAGAACAATAGGAAGTGTGCAAACATACATGGAAGTAGACTATATGTAAAGCGCCAACAGAGTTTATTCAATTCTAATGAGCTTGAAAGTTTATTCTTCAACACAGCCAGGACTCTCTTAGTCAGGGTTTCTTCTCATTTCCTTCAGGACACAAAGTGCGTAATGTCAAGATATGCCAAGGTGTCAGCTAATAGCTCTTTGGGAATCACCTTGTTGATGTAAAAAAAAAAAAAAGATTTTGCCACAGGCTGCTAATAACGAAGTGGCTAAAGGTGCAGTTTGAAACGGGTTATTTGTAAGTTGTCTGCTGAGTTAGGAGTCGTTTTTATGCTTGAACTGGAGTGTATTTCTCTGTTCAAGATGGTGCCTGAGTGTGTAGGAGCCTGAGGCGCTACACAGTTAGGCGGTTTGTTGTGTTTTTACTCAAGTAAAGCAGGGCGAAGCTTTCATCAGATTCCTGACTGCTCCCTGTGATCACACAGCGGCTCAGATCAGCCACTTCCTCCTTCTGGATCGCTGCCGTGAGGGGGAACAGTACACAGATCAGATGAGACAGCTAATTCAATTAGGAGCAATGTGTTATTTTTAGGAGCTCAGATGTGACCGTGCGGTATGAGTGTGTGTCAGGATGAGAATGTATGCACAACCATCAGGAGTGTGTGGGAGGAAGCTATGTCAGAAGTCCACCTGCGCACATGTGTGTGTGTTTGTGTCTGGTTTAACAGAGGGCGGCTCAACTCATAGCTCGCATTCCTAACTGTACTGCTGCTTTATTACTGATATCCTCCTGGCCTCCCTAATAGCTCACCCTTTATATTTCAGCCTTTCTCACAGCTTTTTGCCAGACAAAGTAGCACAGAATATTTCACACAAAGGGAGGGTGATCTGCTCGGTGTCAGGGGGGAAACAGATGTGGATGCAGTGCAGCAAGAGAGCAGTAAGCAACATCAGAGCAGCAGGTAGCCAAGGAGTCACTGCAGCACGCAAAACAGATGGAGAAAAATAGGAAAAGAGATTATCTTTCTCTGACTCACATCCACAAAATAGTGACACTAAGCCCCAAGCAGCCCCATTGGAGCAAATGAGTTACCTGCGTTGCCTCAGGGCATCATTACAGTATCTGCAGAGGGAGAGATGAAAGTGAAAAATAACAGTATGCCTTAAATGGAAGCTTTCACCAGAGGCAAACAACGCATAAACCTCGCACAACTCTAATTTTCTCCATATTATCCCTGGTGCGCTCGCAGCGCATGTGCGATACAATAAACCCTGAGCGTTAGCTGATTCTGATGGACTCCAAGGTCCAAGCCACATCAGATGTGTTTTAGAAGCCGGATCCATCAGTTAATGAACACTGATCCCCGCTGGCTCAGATGGCTTTTTCACTTGACTGCCCACTGGTGCGTTATCTGTTCTTTTTTTAACTTTTTTTTTTCAAACATTTATGCTTGGTTGCAGACCTGTAAAAATTATGAAAATTAATAGCATACTTTCTATCACTTCCTCACCCTAATCACTTATTTAACAGCAATAACAGCACAGTAACTTATTGTTGCTCAAGTGTGTAAGCAGGTATTTCCTAGGCTAAACCGCTAACAGATGTGTTTCTGCCCCAGTAAACATGTAAATACAGGTTAGCTTAGCAATGACAAATACAGCGGCAACAATCCTGTGATGGCACCCTGGTACTGAGAAAACAGCAGGGACAAAAAGTCTTTTTCCAAGGTCAAAACGAACCTAGATATTCTTTTTTTATATTATTTTATTTTTAATCTCACATGAGAAATAATGAAATAAATAAAAAGATTCCAGTTTATCTCCACAAATGTTTTTCTCCTAAATATGCCAACTCTCTCCTTTATATATGTGTGTGTATATACGTATATATATATAATATGTGTGTGTGTGTGTATGAATTCTCATAGCAACAACATAGCAACCATACTTCCTGTACTCTCATCAGCACTACGTTCATATACAGTGCTGAGCACAAAACTGCTACTTGGCAATGACAGTGCATCTTCAAGGGAAAAAATGCACAGTCTGCATGAAAGAGTTAATGCAGAAATAAGAAAAGGTGACAACTTTCCACCTTTTTCTGTTTAATGGAAACAAAAGTTTGCATTTCCAGAACAAAAAGCTGAATGAAAAACAAAGCAGCACTCAATAACGGGAGAGATTACATTTCAATATACCTTTGTAAAAAAACAAAACAACCAAAAGGGCATATCAGATGGTTAAAATGGTAACTGATACACAATAATAACATTTCACAATCTGTAAAAAAAAAAAAAAAAAAAAAAAGGGGGGGGAGCAGACCATTTGACAGAAGATTAACATAATCATAGAAGAAGAATGATGAGAGGAAAACATTACAGCTCATTTGGTTGCCACATGATACTGATGAGACAATCTAATTACAGGTTGTATTCTGTGTCTTCATCTGTGTGATTTCTCTCTGACAGTACTGAATATTGACTGTCTGAATACAGCAATTGTTTGTTCTGTGTGGCAGAGAATTTTGGGATATATTAAATTTAGTAAACATGTAAAAGTTAAACCATTTTATGAGATTTTTGAGATGCATTTTATACTCACATGACTGTCATATGTGCTTCTGATGATGGCTCATTTTGCTTTTTTGGGTAGGAATATTTAAGCTATATATAACTTTTTTTCTCATGTAAAGCACTCAGTCATTTTTACATGTAGTAAGTAGAAATATGCAACTTCCTTGAAGATAATAAGTAATTACCTTTGGAAGAAAGGGGAGAAAAAAACATCACTGTAGATTTATTTGATGAAAAGTATGTTTTTATTCTTTTGGCTAGAATTAGTAACACTGGTGCTGACTTCAACTGGGGATAGTTGGTCAGCAGAAGGAACGATCTGAGGATTGTGTCCATCCCATTGGCACGCCTCCCATAGAGAAAGCACAGACGGATGACCAGCCCGTTTTCACTCCCGAGGCGTAATATACTGACGATTTCTCAAGTCCTGAGGCGGAAGGTCTCCACTTTGGTGGCTGCAGGATTTCGTCTCTGCATTTTGCAGATGTGGTTCTGTTGGCTTCATTAGTGGATAATCTCAACCTTGCACTTGTACAGTTTGCTGCCAAGTGTGAAGCAGCAGAAACAGCTGAATTAGCAACTCAAACTCTATGCCGCAGATATTTTGGTCCATCTTGACATGGTAGCCTCACACAATTGCTGCAGAATTTTTTAAGCTGCACATCCATGATGCAAATCTCCCATTCCACCACATCCAAAAGATGCTCTATTGGACTGAGATCTAGTGACTGTGAAGGCCATTTGGATACAGTGAGCTAACTGTCATGTTCAACAGACCGGTTTGAGATTACTTGATTTTTATGATGTGCATTATCCTGCTGGAAGAATCCAACAGAAAATACTGAACCTAACTGAGTACTGATACTGACATAAACAGTTGATACACGGCAGGATGGATCCATGTGTTCATGTCCTTTACACCAAATTCTGACCCTACCATCCAAATATCACAGCATTAATCGAGATTCATCAGACCGACAACATTTTTCCAACCTTTCATCGTTTGGTTTTTGTGAATCTGTGTAAATTGTAGCCTCGTTTTCCTGTCAGGAAATGACAGGAAAGTGAGACCAGTGTGGTCTTCTGCTTGAAGTGTTGTGATGTGTTCTGTGTTCAGAGATGCCCTTCTGCATACCTTGGTTGTAACAAGTGGATATTTGAGTTACTCTTGACTTCCTATCAGCCTGAAGCAGTCTGCTCATTCTTCTCTGACACCCAGAACACCCAGAGAGCTGCTGCTCACTGGGTGTTATCTCCTTTTTACTGTTTACAGTAAACCCTAGAGATGGTTGTGAGGGAAAATACCAGTATATATGAAGAACAACAATATGAAGGGTTGTTGCCGTAGTCTTGTTTTAACTAAAATGTCAGTTAAATTGTGACAGATGATTCACATTAAGTTTTCGACATGACCTTAGGCGGCTTTTGTGGTTTTTCACTTTAATTTTTTGTTTTTCAGCATCTCACCACATTTCAGCACTTGCTATCAGCAAAATTTATGTCTGTATGATTCAGCACGTGTTTACAACAATAACATGCAACATCTGGTTATATGAGCAGCTTGGGTTTCTCCCAATGTAACATTGTTTTTACAGCTGTGTCAGACATCATGCAGAAAGATGACAGACATGTGTTTTTCAGCTTTTGTGGCAGCCTTTATTTCTAATTGCCTCTTCTTTTTCCTGCTTCGCTCATATTTTTCATTCTTTCACCTTCCTTCATTATCTTCTGTCCATCTCCTCTGTCTCTGACTCCATCTGTCTCCCTCCTTAGACCTTTCTGATAACCTGGCAATGGATGACTTCACCTTCCAGGAGCAGCTGTTAACCCCTCGTTTGGCTACAGCTGGGATGGGAGGCGTCTCCTCACTCGCGGCTCCACTGTGGAGGAGCTACCTAGTTCCAATCCTCTCCTTGATGCTCAGTCTGTTCCCGGTCTATCCCCACTGACCCATGCATTCCCATCACCTCTTCCCTCTAGGATTCAGTACAAAATGTGTGGAATGTGACAAACCTTTTTTTGGAATTCTTGTTCCTGATATAAAGTTTAGTGGCTCAGCAGAGGACGCATGAACAACAGAAAATGCTACATTTCTCTTTATCTGTCTGAACAAGAACCTGTTCAACCTGTGTTCTTAACAAACCTATTAAAGCACATTAGACGCCATTGTGTAAATAAGAAAGTTGCCCACTGGTCCGCTGCCACAATGGTTATTTCAACTTTTGCGTCCTGTTGCCTAACCTCTGTTCTCACACTCACTTCTTATGTAATGTAACAAAGTGATGGAGAGACTCATTTTTAGACATATAAAGGACCTAGCACACAACGGGCCTTTTAAAAAAATAAATAAATAAATGCTCCCGCTCAGTCTGTACTGAGTCACAGCCCAGCAGGTACAAACTGGAAGAAGACGAAATCAGCTGCTGTCATTTTCCTTCGTGGCAGAGCATGACCTCCTGCCAGGGCTGGACTTTATCTGGTCAGTTTTAGTGAGCTCCTTCCCCCTGAATGATGCAATGAATCACTTATTTAAACATGCACTGTTCCTTAAAATGCTCTGCTACTACTCACCCTTCTCTCTGATTGTTTATGTCGTAGTGATAGCTAAATTATTACCGACTGCTTCCTTCACACGCCCACCATCACTGTTTGCTCTGTTTTGTAAAGCTGGTGCACTTTTTTTTAGAAACAGTAACAGCCCTATAATTTAAAAAAAAGGATCCAAGGGCTATCATTCGAATATAAGTCTCCAAAGTCAGCCTGATAACTGTACAGGTGTATGTTTCTCTGTGTTGGTGACATGTTTACATTAACGTGTTTATTTACAATACTGGCATTTTGGTTTTTTCTGGACTAATTATTGGCCGGATTGTGAAGCCTTGCTGCAGTTTCTAGCTTACTCTTTAGCACTGTGCATAAAGCGATCATTAATGTGAAATATAAATATGTATAAAAACGTGTACATTAATTTTGTTATGTTGCACTGGTCTCATACATTTCCAAGGATGGCCTCTGTATTTAATCTTTTTTTCTGTGCTTTTTGGGTTAAAAGCAAAAGTGAGATTCTTATTGTTTCATTTGTTTGGTTTTTTAACATGGTGCTGCTGCTACCACACAGCTGACTCCACAGCTGCAAGTGCTGAGTCTGCCCATGGCCCACTGTTTGACTTGTCATGTCAGGAAAAGCACAGGTGTACAGCTAAGTCATATCAGCGATCGAGCATGCCGACTACCAGGCTCCTGGCAGTGGAATGCCTAAACAAAGTGCAGGCCTAAATTATTTGACTAGCGCCACCTGATTTTTGTCTCCTATGGCCAGTTACAAGACCCCTGGCCAGTGTCCCACCTAGGAGTCATAAGAAATAATGATGTGTTTGTTTTTCTCTCAATTGAATGTTGATGGGGAAAATACATTGTAAAATAAACTCAATCTGTTTTGATGTTTTGTGCCTGTGGCAATGTGTTTTTAAGCTAAGATATTAGCATCACAATTAGCATTAGCGTATTCAGCTAAGCATTTAGCAATGACGCAAGAAATGAAGTTTAAGACACGAAGGGGGTGGAAATATGCTTAGCTGCTAACACTAAGCATATTTCAGTGGTATGAGTGTAACAGGAAAAGTACTACACACTAGTTTAGTATAAAAAGTGCTGAATGAATGTGTGGGCACTTTAAGTGCTTTGAACAATGGATAGAGCTACTACAAGGATAAGAAGTAGAGCTAGCAAAAATGCTGACTGTGTAAGCTAGCAGACTTTTTAGTGTCACAGCTCTATCATTAAGACCCAAGAATCTGATGGATTTGCTATTCCATCCGTCTGCACAGTCACAATATGCTAACCTCCAGTTCTACTCTAGCTTCTATGAATGTGTGTGAATGTTAGATAGGTAAAGAATGCAGCAAGATGTAAAAAGTGCTTGGTGTGGTCAGGTAGAGTAGAAAAGCACTATATAAGAACCACTTGCTGTGTGGACAAGCATGGATGAACTTGATGGATGTTAGTTTGCTACTGTTAATAAACTCAAATAACATTAAAAAGTGTCTTTCTGCTCCAGGCGAGCACTCCCATGACTTCTTTGTTGACTGAACATTATGTTGGCAGGTCAAAAGTCATTCACTTGTGATTAGTTGAGGCAAAAGAAAACACCCCTTCCAGGAATAAACTGATTGACATGGATGTAGTGTCAGGCTGAATGAATTAAGTAAAATTAAGTTGCAGATTAACTTGGTTGTCAGGCTTGTTTTACGTGAGAGTAATGGCAGAATGAGCAAATGTTTGGACTAAAAGCTACCAACAGCTCAATGCTAAGTTGTTGGAGGAAAGTGGAAAAACAACCCCAAAAACATGAAGTGAAAGATTCCAACTCACAGATTTGGCTTTTTGGGTATGGAATAATCCTTAAAATGCCATGAAAAACAAGGATTAAATGGATGGCACGCTGCTGCGATTACAAATTGCACACACAATGTTCCAGGCATATATATTACTTTCTGTGCTTTTCGCTACTGATCCACTTCAAAGCGAGTCATGAATCATGAAATTTATGTGTTTCTGGACTGCACTCGTTGCTCTGAGTCCTAAAGCAGCACGTGGATTATGTGTTTTTTCTTTGGATCTGTATTTTTTCACTCCCAGCAGATTATGAACTACTGTCCTCGCTGTCCCTCTCTGTGGGGCTTCTCTCTATTGACCCAGTCTGTTAACCTCCTGAGCTTAACTTAACCAGGTAGCTATACTCATCCACAACCCAGCAGTGAACCAGGGTTCATTAGTCCCAAGTGTTTGTGTTTCGTCTCCATTATTAAAGCCTGTCTTCTTCCCTAACAAGGCCAATCACTCACAGCTCCGCAGATAACACGCCTGTCACAGCAAACGCACTTCAAAATCCCATTTCTGTGTCCCCGATTCTCTGCTGTAACTTTTCACACCCACACACCCTCTGCTCGGCAGTGCTAGATAAAAACGCCATTATTATCCAGCTGTGCCTTTCTCTCCTGAGCTGCAGCTTTTAAGATGTAAACGGGAGGCTGATTATAAGGAGATGAGCAAACGCCGGCTGCAGAGAGAGCAGCAGCTAGCCCGGGATGGAGGGGGGGGGGGTGGGAGTATACTCTGAATGCTAATGTGAGGCTGGAGAATGGGCATACAGGCCCATTGAGATGCAGAGTCCATGTGTTTTCTTAGGGTAATATTGGGGCAATGTTGGAACAGCCTGCATTATGAGAGTGAAAGGTCAATGTGATGTTAGTCAGCAGGAACAGTGAGAATTGCTGACTATTAGGAATTGTTGCATTTTCTGCCTGAGTGATTGACTCCCCTATGAATATGTATTTCAGCCCTTTTTTCATGGCCACACAAAGATGTTCGGGCTTGTGTACCTTCACGAGCCAGAGGGGTCATTAAACACTGCATATAAATTAAAATAACAATGTAATTCAGGTGCTCAAAAGTGCACGGCCACATCCCCGCCCACCCCCCAAAGTCCAGTCCAATTTTTACCAAGCTGGATGTTGAAATTCCTTCGCTGCAGAGAAAGGCCCGAGACATGTCATGTTGCTCAAAGCTCATTCACGTCTAATTACCATGGCACTGGACCATTTTCTTACCTTTTGTTGGCCCGCTGAGAGGAGCGCTGGGCCCACGCTCTCCCATGCACACACAGCTCCAGCATCCTCCTCCTTCTCCTGCTCCTCAGCAGCCCCTGGCTTCCCCTGCAGCAGCCGCAGTCACACAGAATGAGTGGAGCCGCCTGAGGAATGTGGACACAAAAGGAGGAATGTCATTTTGCTGATCGCTAACCCCCCCGCACCCTCCCCAAACCAACGGACATGTGCACAAGTCCGGGCATTTTTAAATGCAGGGGGTACAAAAATCTTGTCAATGCTACTTTTGGCATAAAAAAGACTGTAGTGCACCTCATCCTTGCTGAAAATGAGCAAATGGTGCAGCTTCTGATTGTGAATTGAATTATTTTTCTCCTTTTTTGACGGTTCTGGTGTTTTAAGAGGTTGACACTTTGAATTTTTCACATGCTTAATCTTTTCAGTGCTAAATGGCCTATAAAGCTCTGAATGGTTTAGGACCAAAATACATCAATGACCTCCTGACCCAGTATGAACCATCCAGATCCCTCAGGTCATCTGGATCCGGTCTTTTATCAGTTCCCAGAGTCAGAACCAGACACGGAGAAGCTGCATTCAGCTTTTATGCTCCTTATATCTGGAACAAACTCCCAGAAAGCCTCAGATCAGCTGAAACACTCAGTTTATTTAAATCCAGGTTGAAGACTCACCTGTTCTCAGCTGCATTTGAATAAAGCACCAAATCCACACTTTAAGCTTAAATTTCAAAACTTACATTTAACTACTGATTTTATCTACTGTTCTGATTTTATCTGTTTTGATTTTATATACTGTTTTGTTTGTTTGTTTGTTAATTAGTTAGTTAGTTTATTTGCTTGTTTTAATCAATTTTAAATCATGCTTTTTATTTGTTCTTGTTTCTAATGTCTCTGTAAAGCACTTTGAATCACCTTGTTGTTGAATTGTGCTATACAAATAAACTTGCCTTGCCTTGCCTAAATAAACTCAGATTGTTTTTTTCTTTCCTCTTTTCTTGCCGGCGTTGCGAGATGGACAAAGGTCAGAGGCAAAGAACAGCATGACAACACCAGCAGACAGACGCCAACAAAGTGCAGCTTAAAAAACTAAAACATGACAGGAGGACGCATCATTTCAAGCATGTCCAGCAGCTTTTTGTCTAAACAAAAAAAGCATTCTTCCTCATTTCATCTCAGTGAGCATCTGCTTTTCACTGATTTATACATCTCCCATTAGATGCGAGTGCAATCTCAGTCCACCTCTACAGTCTGCTACCATGCTTCCAGCAAGCTGCTTACTGTTGTTTACAGCACTATATGACAGGCAGCTGGATGTGCGAAGCACAGCTGCCCCATTGCTAACACAGGACAGCCTGATCGTGTTTGTGTAAGGAGCGGGCCCTGTCATTTTTTTTGACTCCTTGTTACAGAAACACTGGCCACGGTTTCACCCACCCATTTTAAACAAACTCTAATGTACTGGACTCAAATAAAAGCATCTGGGTGAAGACTTAAAAGACTTCACACTGGTCTCTGTTTCCCCACCTTGGATAAGATGTGGTTACAAAATGTCCTGGTTATCATTCAAGTCCTTGGGGTGGCCTAGAAACAGAGATAAAAATGGTTTATTGTCACTAATATCTGTTAAGACTGTGTGTGTAAGCCTGTTTGACTCCAAGGACTTTTATCTACTCTTATCTCAACACTAACAGCAAAAAAGAAAAAAAACTGATAAGAAATCCCTGCTCAAAGCAGAGGTCAGACTTGGATCTTCTGTGAAAGAGATCTGTGATTTTGAGCACTTTTGCATATCTAAATGAGTCTTTTCTTTATGTCATGTGGGCCAGTAATAGGTCATACCCACATGTTATGCCACCGTGTAGCTCCACCCTCAGCTCCAGTCCTGATTTTCAAGCGCGGCTTCCTCCAGTCTAAACATTAAAGTGGGAGAGAGCTCCTGGGTTGGTTGGAAGCCCCTGCTCCATGCTCCACCCCTGGTGTTCCTGATCTCCAGGTCTTTGTCCCCCGGAACTTGCTCTCACTCCTGGGTGTCCACCAGGGCTTTTTCTGCTCGCATCTGGATCCCAGTACAACCTGCAAGCGGTCCAGCGTCCTCTCCCACTGAAACCCTCGGCCTCCTCCGATTCGGAAAAGAAAAGAGAAGAAGACTGAAGAAACCCAAATTTTTCCCGATAACTTTCCACAGCCTACTCTCCTCCCGTGGTTTTTACTTTTCGTCGAAACTCTGAAGCAGTAGTGAGACTGTGATTGTTGCTTTCAGTCTCAAAGAAAAAAAAAAGTTTTTTCATGTTTTAACCCCGTTGTTTTGTCGCGTCTTTGTGTGTTTTTCATTTGAGTCTGGAACTCGACACTTAACCCACGTACCTGTAGTTGTGAAACGTCCGACGTGAATGGTGTTTTTTCGGTGTCTTTTCTGCTCTCCCGGCCTCTGCTGCTGTGAATGAAGTATCTGTTGAGCCGAAGAAATCAGCGCGTCTCCATGAGGAAACTCGACCGTGGACTCGCTGAAACTTTGTCCTAGCCGTGCACACACTCACACCTGAGCGACTTTAACATTTTTGCGGTTTTCGCTGTTAGGCTTCTTATTTTTCTGTCTTCGCCTGGCCCAAAATGAAGAGTTTGTTGGCGCTGTGTGTCGTGTGGACGGTGGCTGTGGTGTCGGGGACTGAGGAGCAAAAGTTGAACAACTGTAATGAAGTTCGTGCTGCCTACAGCTCCAAAGGCTTCAACGTTAACGACGTCCCCAGCAAAGGAGTCAACGGTGAGACCCATTTTTATTTATATGTGTATATACAAATATATCTCAAGTTTAACCTTAAAACCCAATGGGTTCTAAAGTAGGGAGCGGGGACCCCCGGTGGGTCTTGCAGAGGTTTCCGGGTGGTCCTAGCTAAGAGAACTTTTTAAGCTAGCAAAGTTAGCTTGAAGAGAGTTTAGCTTCAAATCTGTGAAATTAACTCCAATATTTCAATCCAAACCTGACATTTAGACATCTTTTAATCACACCCATGTTTTCCATTTTAGCCAAAAACTACCTAACTGCTTTTTGACACTGCCACAAATAACAACCTCTACAGCAAATGATTAAACGGTCACTTTTGTAAATGGACATTTAGTGCTTATTCCAGATTTGATATAGAGGCGTTGTTAATCATACTGACATGCTGCTTTTTTCATTTTCTTTTGGTCTGTGTTTTTCCTCAATTATTAAGTAGCAATGAAACATTTGGGAATGCATTCTTCTGGCTTAGTGCTGCTGGCAACACTTCACTGCTCCAGTGTGTAAACAGAGTCATCATTTAGGAAATACTTGTAGGTAATTCATAACAATAAAGAGCTATAATCAACACACAGGCTCTGTTCCACACAGAAAGAACCCAGGCCCATGTTTATTTCCAAGCTTCCTCAGTAGAGACCCCCATGGCTGTGAAGCACAGGCCGCCGGCAGCGATTTAGTAAGCATTCCTCTGCATTATGGAAAAAAGAGCTTATGGATTTTTCTTTCTCTCCAGGCTTGGCTGAATTATTATTTTTTTATTTGTTTATCTCCCAAATCCACCTCCAGACCAGTCACAGGATGCAGAGTGCTAAGTAATAATGGAAGCAGACATGTTAATAATCAGAGAGGCAAAAAGGCAAATCAATGATGCTAATCATGAGATAAGCCCAAGCAATGGAAACTTTCCTTGAAGGAGGGGGGTGGGGGCGTTTACAGTAAATCCTTGAGGGCAACAAGGGGAGGGGTTGGGGGGTTGAAATTCCTATGTGCCCTGCATACTTTCACCCACCCCTCACTGCCACTCATTTCCTTTTAATTTTAATGGCACTTAAAATAAATACGCAACATTTGGTGAAGTTAGGTTTGCCAGTTTTGGAGTGGCTTCAGCATGGTGTATGACAGTATAGAAGTAAGTCATCTGGGGGGAAGCTTAGGTCTTGTTTCCCACTTGGGAAAAAAATACATATGTAGGTTTTGGCCCTCATAAAGAGCTTAATTAGCAGAAAAGCTATTTTTACAACTTGGATAACTGTTTTTGGCGAAGTGCTCACAGCATTATTCCATCTGACTACGTGAGCCAATGTGCATATGTTCTCTTTATTATCATAAAGCCCTTTATGAGTTCTCGTTTGCATACTAAGAGGATGTTCAGATCAGCTTTTTTATTTTGGGGCCACAATGGCTCATTAGAATTTGAGTTGGGTGTAGCTGTCAAAGAGACAGAAATTTGATCCCAAGTTTCACACAAGTCTCAGTCTTTTTTAAATAAGGTTTGTGTGGGGTTTTTGCTTCTGTCTTTGTGATAGTAAATGTCATTAGGAGTACCGCAACACGTCTGTCTCGGTCAGATTTTATTGTCTTGCATCCCTGGGTTTGAAAGGATGTGAATGAAAGCTTGTCCAGGTTTGTGTGCTACATACACACATGTGGCTTTTCCTTACAATAGTTTGCTGGTGTATGTCTGGGTTTTTAGGCAGGGCTGACCTCAATGAGCGGCTTTTTGTCGCTGATAGAGACTGAGATGATAGAGACCCCCCCACACACACACACACCACACTGAATCTGAATAAAGCAACTGTTTTACTATTACTGTGTGGCAAAGTTGACATGCTTTAAAAATGATGCACAATCTCAGCCAGTTGTCACAGGACAAGTTCTTGAAATGTTTACGTCCTCCGATATGTGCATCACAAATCAGTTTCGTGGAATATGAGTCTTATAGAGATTGACAGACCACGTGACTTTCGCGCATTGCATGCCGGTAACTCGTGGCAAAACAATCCATGTACCTACATCAAATGCAAGCATTTGCAGCACCGCAAACGTCCATTCTTCGGTTCCAATAAATTCTTGCTTTTTCTTTGTCCCCCAAAAAGGTATGTACAAAACGAAGGAGAACAATGCTGGTCCGTACAAAGACAGACTTAATGAAAAGTCAAAGAAAAGATACGAGGAAAAAAATCAAACCAGTGAAAGTGTTAGATCCTTACGAGCA